CCTCTTTTCTTTTAGAAAATCAAGGCAATATTTATGCTGCTCTGTCCTCCTAATTTTCATAGCAGCAATTCTATGAGGCAGGTTGGGCACTGATAGAGTAATTGGCTCAAAGTTATCTAGTGGCTGATTAGAACCTGGGTCTACCCTGATGCTAGTCCAACACCTTCAATATTATGCCACATTGGCTGTCAATCATAATATTTTAATCAATGCATAGTACTTTTAGAAAAATGTTATAAAAATGGAAAGTAAATAAACAATGTTGTAAACTTTTAGAAGTCAAGTTTTATAGTACAAATCTATAAGCTGAAGACAGTATGCATGAGAGGATACAAGAGGATAATCATGCTAGGTAGGATATGCAGGAAATTATCAAAGTGCAATGATACTTCCATACAGTTTTGAGTACAATGTATACATGGTTAAAACTGTTAGAGTATATACACAAAGAAATATATAATTTTCTAACTTAGATGTAATTTCTTAAGATTTTTAAAATAAAAAGTGAATATTTGGGAAAAACATGGTTATAAATTAGGAATAGGTAAAAAAAAGCATATCAATAGTCTTACTCATGTTCACTCAGAAATAAGCTTTCAGAATTCAGTGAATTTTATTTCAAGAAAATAAACACAAGCAGTACAGTTTAATTAACCAGGAATCTAATTATTTGGATTAATTGTGGAACCTATGCTCTTCTGCATTTCCACAAGTCATTGGATTCAATATTGCTACTTTTCAGAGCAATAGTTTTGTTCTCATGTTAAAATATGATGCTAATATAAACTTCAAAGAATGCATTTTTCTTACTTCAGTATCCTGATATCAATATCCTGAAATCCCCACCAATGCAATTTAACCACTTTTACAGCAAGTTAGTTTCCTACCTCTGTCATATTTTATGGAATCCTGTAAGAAGATTTTTTTTTCTCCTGAGAGGATATTTTAAGAGTGAATGGAAGGACTAGGTAGAAAATAGCTGCCACTCAGGCTGTTTAACATTTACAGGACAATACCAAGTACTGCTCTACCTTGGCAAAAAGTAGGAATTCAATTTTGATGAAAGAAAGAAATAAATTGGAAAGGGCAGAAGACTGCATATTTATTACTATTTTAATAGCATTAATATGTTTTAAACGATAGAAACTAAGCATTCAGTGAAGTTAACACCGATATTAAAGTTGGCTCACAACTGCTACTTCTAACTTTTAAAATGGGGATTTTTGTTTTGTAATATATATAAAGAGCAGAATTTTCTGTGTTTCATCAATGAAAAAAATACTTGTACAGTTGAACTGGACAGGCCTATTTCATGGATCTATAAATATCTTCCTCCAATTTATTTTACTGACTGAAATGCATCTTCAGCTGAAAGTGGAAGAGTCAGTCTACAGACATTAAAGTTATTGTGATCAAATTATTGTCTTGTTTGAAAAAAAATTAACAATTTTTATACATGATAAAATGAAGTTTCAATTAGTGGAGTTTTTTATCTAGCTTTCTTCTGATTTGTTTCTTATTTTCTATTGTAAGTGCTCTTATACACTGCTTTTCTATCAATCCAAAAACACAAGTTAAACTGTGGCTTACTACAGTACTTAATGTTTCACTCTATTATATAAAAATGCTGTTTTGCTATGAGCAAGAAAAGGTTTATTCTGAAGTGATCCAATTCAACAAACATCTTCTATAATTTTATTTAAAAACTTCCTCCTTGTAGACTTAATGATGAATTTGTTATTCCAAATTACACACAGTAATAAGTCAACATAACGTTTCATTTGTTAGCTGTGTACTAGATTTTTTTTAAAAAAAAAGTAATAAAGAAATAATTAAAGCACTTCAACATTTAAAACTGTACAATGAATAAAGCTGATTAATTCAGGAGCGGTTTATCAGTAATACTTCAGCATGTTGCACAGGTAGTAATTAGAGATTTAGAGATTATGAGAATTTCTATACCAAACACAGAGTATTCCTGAAAAAAAATCTATTGTATACAATGGCAACTTGTTTTAGTTAAACTTGAAATAATTTTGAAATATTTTAATATTTTGAAAAAGCATTAGATTTGAAAAAAAATGTGGAATAATAATAATACAGAAAATACTGGCCTTTTTAAAGTAAAGTACAGCAAAAATCTAGTCAGTGAGTTTCACACACAACATGATCACCTCCTTGTATCTTTAACGTCCTTTTTACTTTAAATTGAAAACTAGGAACATGGACATGAATTCGTGTTCAAGACATTATAAAATCCATCTAAGAATAATTCCAAAGTTAATAAATAATAAGATAGTTCTGACTGATGGTGAACCTTTGATAAATTAAACTAAATATATAAATATTATAATATATAAATATTATAGTGATATTTCTGCAAAACAAAAGATAAAGTCCTTCATATAAGATAATTCTTCCTATTAAAAATGTAAAGTGCTAAAATGTCATATTGTCAATACCTCAAAACCTCAAAATTTTACATCATAATCAAAATTATACAAGTATAATATAAAAATTATTAGACCTCTTCCTAGCCTTTATATATAAATAACAAAAATCAATGCACACATATGAGTATCAGTGAAATCTTATATATGCTTTGTTTGTTTAAGTCCTCTGAATTCAATTGTATTTCTTCATGTAAATATAAAACTACATTTAAACTGAGACATAGTTCTTTTCATGCTACATTTTGATATCATGTAATAGCTTCAGAGACTGATATTAAAATAAAAATATTTTCTTTTTTAGGCTATCAATGACCAATAACACAAGAACATAGACTAACAATAACACTCTTCATTTTACCTATTTTTAATTGTTTCGGCCACAGTTCTGAAATTCCTTTGCAGGTAACTTTTCCCACCGAATTCTAGAAAGTAATTTTGGTGTTTAAAGTAACACAGCTCAGACTGTGCCATAGTCCCTTGTATTATACTATCTTCTTACTGATATAAAGAAGAAAAAATTAAAATATCTTTAAAAACTTTATCATAAACATTTGTTTCTTGTATCTAAAAATTATACTGAGCTCATTTCTTTAGAATTGGGTTTTAATTTCTGGAAGCTTAATCAAAGGTTCATCAAACTTTAATCAAACAAAAATTGCACATTGTGTCATTTGGGGAACATTTATTATATTATTATTACAATGCCAAATAATATATTGCTAATCTGATAATCTCTATATTAGCACATTCGCTGTTAACATATTCCTAAAAGTTATTACTTCCTCTCAAACTATTACAAGGAGTTCACTGCCACTACCCCCAAAATAGTGCTATTAAAAGTCAAAAACATTTGCTGTGACACTATTATTTATTTATTTAAAACATTTATATAGCCTCCCGTCTTATATTGAACCATGTACAGCTCCCTATTAACAATTAAAACAGTATCAATAATAAAAAAAATAATACATAAACGTATTAAAACCATAAACATTAAAAAACCTGACACAAAAGTTAAACTTCCAATATACAATCCCTCATAAAATCCTACTACCCACCTCCCGTTTTAATATTCCTTTTGTAATCCATACAGTTACTAGGTTTTCCAGCTGAATTTTAAAAACACATTAAATTTCAATTACTTGAAATATTATGGGAGTGCTGATTAAAGCAACAATATACTTATTCTAGCTACTTATGTTTTTCCTTCTATTTGAAACTAATCTGTTTTCCCTTATTCTATTTTTATAATTCTTTGTTCCAGACAGAACAAAGTATTGATTTGCTTAAACTAACGCCAAACAATAAAAATGTCAAGGAAGGTTAAAATTATTGTCTAATGATGATATGAAAGAATATTATAAAAAGGCTGAGAAAAGGCAAACTGCTGGCACCACTTTTAATTATTTTCTTTATACATTTGATCAAACAATCTAAAATTATCTAATTGAATTTTACTTAAGATGTTTTTATATTTTAATTTTTAAAATACTGAATGGGCTGTGTTTATATTCAATAGCAACTTCAATTTTTTACTGCAAACAGAGTAAAAAAGGATATAAAAGAATAATTTTCAGATATATTATTTGTTATGAGAACTATCTTCCATCATACCATTACATATTTAGTTAAATTGTATCCTTATAGGTACATGTTCCATTAAATGTATAATTTAATTCTAATAATAATAATTCACAATTATCAGTCAGTCAAATCAAGATTTCTTTTTTCCACATGCTTCATTAAATCTAAGCTGCAGAAATGTATAGAATTTAAATGTTTTCCTATTAATATTTTCCATGTGCTGTTCTATAAGCCAGCTATTGTTTCCTTTGTCTTTTTTTCTACAATTCCACATTCTTTATCTTTCTCTTTGTTATATGTGGTATGGACATACACATCACTGTAAATATTCCCTGTCATATATTGGAATGGCAATATCACAGGTACTCCAGGGACAACCGTGTGAGCAAATAAAGCTTACAAAACACACACACACACACACACACACACACATACACACACACTCCAACAAAGAAAAAACCCAGTGGAGTATTTTTTTTTCACCAGTAAAAAATATAAAGATTTCAGATCAAGTAATGAGATGCCTGGATATTTCCCAAATGATCTGGGGAATTTAGAGTCAGGATTGTAAATCAGATATTGTTAGAAACTTCTATAACCATAGTCAAGTGCCTAAATATACATACCAGAGAACATCCCTCAGCATACTACAAATAGGCACCGACTATATTTTCATGTTTATTTTATGTTACTTTTTTTCCATGACACATTCTAAGAAAATGTGGAAACCCTAGAGAATATGCTTGTAATTAGAGGGAGACAGAATAACCATGGTAACAATTACCACATTTGCAACTGTTTTTTAAAAATAATTTCACAACATAATTAACAATTGTAACTATGCAGATAGTAAACATCAAGAAAGCATCAAATACTAATGGAGTTATATCAAATGACATCTTGAAAAAGAAAGCTAAAATCTGTCTCTATATGGACAATGCAGTTCAGAAACAAAGCACATACCATTATCCATTCAGGTGCTCTACTTCTTATTCTGCCCACATAGTTCTGCAGCTCCATTAGTCCAAAAGTCGACTTTGCCCTGCTTCTGATCTTTATGGGTAACAACAGCATCACACTGTTGGCAATTTTTTTCGATTAAACTTCTCAGACACGGTAGCAACTTTGTTAATTATGATATTAGGCAGCTGGCGGGCACGATCAATCATCCACTATAAGGAAGCCAGACAACGAGACATCTAATCATTGCAACCAGAGCAGATAAATTTTGTTCCTTTCTTATACGTGTCAGAGATTCTATCCCTCCTGACCCCTGAACACTGCCATCGACTGTCAAATTTAGATTCAGCAAGCTCCCAGCTTTTCTTTATCCCTGCCTTAGATCTGAAAGTCCTGGTTATCAGGAAGACAAGCGTCACCAGCTGTCTCAGAGCAGGAAGGCAATCAGGTGAATAGTACTTATTATCTTTCATTGCTTGCTAAGGAATGACAAGATTGATTTGGGACCAACAGCATATCCATATCTCAAAAGCAGACTTCAAGTTCAAATTATGATGCATATGTAAACCTCTACTGAGAGATTTTAAGTCTAACCTTATTAATAAAACATACTTAAAAATTAGGAATTAGACAGAACCTCTTGAACATCTAGACAATTCCCATTAAATTATGACACAAGCTGTTCCATGGACCAAAAAGGTGTTCCAACTTCTATCCAGAGGTTGCCTTTCACAAATGGATTGTCTTAATTGGACCCGTTAAAGTCTTCTCTGTACGTACCTTCTGTCTTAACTAGACTGTGAATTCTTACAAATGCAACAGGCATTACAATTCTATCTGCTACATTCCTAAATGGATGTTATGTGTTAGGTAATATTTTACTATTAATCCTGAAACTGCAAAATATATTGCTTATTTGAAATAGGAAGTAAGATAGATATTGTAAGGTTCTGATGGAAAAATTATCAATAAAAATAAAATATACATTCAGTAAACCAGATGATAATTTTTAAATGTAGTTAAAATATAAAGAACAAACCATAAAAAGACTACATTAGGTTATGTTAAAATAACTAAAAGCAAAACACCTTGAATAAGCAGGATGGTTCTATAGTACAGTACATATTTTTCTTTTTGCTAATTAATATTAGCAGTTAGAGGTGTTATAAATTGACAGTGTGAAGCTCCAATTTAACATGTCAAGATTGCAACAATAATTCACATTTTTAATCAAAATATTTCTCAGTACTATATTTTTTCTTAAATAATTGTAGATTATGAGACAACCCATTTACTCAGAGTTGTCATAAAACTATTAAATTTATTATACTAATCTTGAGAATAATTAGAAGATGGGACAAGAATAAAAGAAGGAATGAAGGCAGAAAGATAAAAGAAATTCATAAAAGAAGTTCTTACATTACAAAGTAGACTAATGTTGACATAGCATACAAGTATAAAATAGCTTGCTTCATCCCTAATTAATTACCTATTGTGAAATTACTAAATATAGGAATATTTATTTAATTTTTAAAAGCATATTAAATAAATTCAGAAAAAGTAAAGGACCATATAAATTAGTATTAATTGAATTGACTTACCCCCATTATGGATAAAACTGTACCCTAACTACACCAAATAACAATGTTTATTCATGTTAAGCCCCAATGAGTTGCTGTATTTTAAGATTATACAAGACAACACTCTGCTTTCAAGAAAACATTGTTCCACGTTTATGCTATTGTAGTATTTTTTTAAATGTATTCACTCATTAATGTTTTGTCATTCATTTCTTCCCAATATTTTAACAAATTCAGTTTACATCACTGTAGTGCACACAGATAGTAGAACATATTTTACAAAAATCATTGCCACATACAGCCTATATAGAATGAAGAACTCACTGAAAACCTTTACTGCTGAAATATATGCATAATCAAATACATATGGGGAAAAATAAATGGTATCCTCAAGAAAGGGAAGATGTTTTTAACAACAGAAATCTTGAAAAAAATTACACACAGAGCCAAAAGGATGGTATTACATTTCCAATATTATGTCTCTATGACCCAAAGATGAAAAGTTAGTGCCTCAGAATTAGCATACAGTTAATTAAATAATGGCTTACTTATTATCTAAAATGTAAATAATCTGTAATTATATATTACATTCTTTCCCAATTTGTAGCCTTCCATACATATTTCAATATAGTTCCCATAATACCCAGCCAGATATTTTATTAATAGTAAACACTTTACACGAAAAGTTCTTGAGATTTTTTTTGTACAAAAAAAGACCTCCATGCATGGATGTCTAAGGGAAGGCCCAGGAAGGACAAATGATATCTGGACATAAGCGTATAAGGGCAAGAGTTGTGTCATGTATATGTCATCATCTTGGTTAAATTTTGCTTTGCTGCAGATAATTGTTCCTCTATGATCTCTACTAGAGATCTGTCAATATTGACTGCAACTTGTCCAGGCTTACAATGTGAAATATTCCTAAATTCTTACTTAGCAGGATAACCTGAGACAATCAAGCTCTCTGTCAAAATATCAGGTTGTAGTGCACTGAGAACATTGCTGTAACAAAAACTGTAGTATTCCCCACATAATACATGCTAGAATAGAATGGAACTAGTAGCTTCCTTTTAAACTTATTGCTGTCATCCTAATCCAGTCCTTTGTTTTCAGAAATCTAAAAATTGCAAGTGCAATTTGTGCATTGATTGCTTGATTTCTGTAAATTCCACAGTATCACAATTCCGTCATCACACAGTGGAACTATGCATTGATCTCTATTAAATGTAGGGTGTAAAGCCTGATAATTAATTGAAAATTCAACTTTCATTTATGATTCATGATCATCATTGTCAAATATTGAGCCAAGTACCATAAGGTTCAGTCCAATACTATTCTACATTTTTAACAATTTGGATTGCAAAATGATACCGGAAAGTTAGATGAATTGTTTGAAAACAACAGAATAACATTTTACAGAAACAAATGGGTAGTTCTGCATTTAGGAAATAGGTATAGTTTGGGGGAATGCTAGACTGGGTTATGATACTTGTAAATAAGATCTTGGAATAACAGTTATTTTCATACTGATAATGAGTTAAATATGTGATATGACTGAAAAAACCAGGTTTCATTAACAAAAATATTATTTCCAAATTATTGGAAATATCTCATAGTGAGTACTAGAAATGAAGTGCTCTGAAAAGAAATAAAAGAAATTAGGAATGCTTTGCTTTGATAAGAAAAGCATGCAAGGATATATGATGATAATACTTTCCAAATATCTAAAAGGGTGTCACAGTTGAAATTCAAGAGCTGTCGCCACTGCAGAATGAAAGAATGAAAGGCACAATAATGGATTTAAGTTATAAAAAAGCAGTGCTATTTCAGTGTTAGAAAAATTCCCAAACAGTAAAACAGTTGAAAAATGGAACCCAATTACTCTGAGAAGTGATCGGTTCCTTCACTTGATTTATTCAAGGAGAAGCTTGATAGTATTGACAGGAAAGCTTTAGTTTAAACTCCAGCACTGAGAAAATTGGATGCAGTGATATAAAAAGCCCCTTCTCACTCTGTGATTCTGTAATTCTTCTAATATGTATTTAGCAAATGACATTCAGTATGCAATACTATATACTTTTAAATACAATGTAAATTGCTTACTACCAGGTAAAGGCAGAGCCTCAAAATTCCACTAGAAAGTCCTATAAGAGAAGAAATAATCTTACAGAGGAACTGAGGGAGAGATTCCATTGGTCTGGAATTCTCAGCTGCATTAATTGCATGGAAATACTGGTTTCCCATTCAATGGGTTTCAATGGGATTGCACATTTGTTCAACATTATAGCCATGTTAGAAATTGTTCACTAATTTAATACATACATAACAAGGATAATTATCCCATATTCATTATTCATGTTACTGAAACAATATATTTAATTATATTGAATTTAGGCTTTTACTCTGAAAATATTATTTTTTTTAAAAAAATGTCCCAGTAATCAATGAATTTATATTTGCAATTTGGAGATGGATGCTTCAAAATATCTAAGGAGTGATACAGTAAATGTCAAATCACTATTTACTATAATATTCATTTACTATAATGAATATTACTAAATACTAATCCTAGACTAAAAAATATTCTGAGACAAATGCCAGTATAAGCTCATTAATCAGTATGCTATCGTACACAACTATACTAGGATCTGAAAAATTTTATCTACCTGTATCAGCACATTTGACATTTAAAACTCATATACATATGTGCATAGACACAGATACATCCACCTGCCCTCTGGTGAAACATGAATGTGCAAACCTGGACAATTACCATGCAGTAACAGTTTTTCTAAGAGCCCATTTGGTATAGAGGTTAAAGTCATCAGGCTAGAAAGCAGGAGAAAGTGAGTTCTAGTCCTGCCTCAGGCACAAAGGCAACTGGGTGACCTTAAGCCTGTCACTTTCTCTCAATCCTAGGAAGAAGGCAATGGCAAACCACTTCTGAAAAAAATTGGTAGGAAAACTGCAGGTATTTATTCAGTCTCCAATTTTCAGACACAACTGAATAGAAGAAAAAAAACCCAACCATATTTCTACTGCAGAAAATTACCAGTTTATTCTGATGATCTGCTTCAGTAAAAATGTGTGAAATATCTGTATCTATCCATTTGCTTTGTTCATAATTTTGAATTTATGGAGTTATATTGCATGTATCAGCTACATTCCTTAATCTATTCTTTTGGCATGAATGGAAAGAGACTTCCACTTGTTTACCAATCCACCACTGGATTGCATTGAAAGCATAGAAAGGAAGTGTTGGAATATAATATCAGGTTCAAGTTCTTTCTTGGCCATCAAAGGTCACTGGTAACTTTAAACCAGTAGCAGTCTCTCTGATCAAATTATCTGTTAGAGTTATTGTAATGGTGAAATCTAGAAGAGGGAAGTTTGAACTTCTTCTTTAAGAAAATAAAGGATGAAAATTTAAGAAACAAATTAAAAACACAGTTTTGGGAGAGTTTTTAGATGTGCTCAAAAGAATTGCCATAAGATTTAACTTTAACTTCATATTCATATAAGTCTTTTACTTTCACATATCAATTTATAAGATTGCAGCAAGAAGGAAGAAAAGTTCTATTGTTGATCATATTTTATAACTTATTCTACTACATGGACCATTCTGCTGCAAC